GGGGTGAGGGTCTAAGACGAGAGCAGGAGCAAAGAGATTACTTTTAATCCCTCAGCGCGGAATGGGCGAACACTCAGATTCTTCAGAGGCCCCATTAGCAGAGAGCTGCTCTGAGAGGCTCCGCTGCTCTCACTGAACCCCGCACAGGACCGTCGTGCAGCTGCTGCTGGCTGACCCCTCCGCAAGACAGCCCCCATGCCCCGACCGCTGCACTTGCGTCTGTCCTTCGGCTTGTAGGCAACCTATGTCGTGCTCCTTCCCTCTTCTGCTTCGTGGCCCCGGTGGGTAACTCTCACTTGTTCTTGCCGCATCGGCACCATTTCCTTCAAAGATTATGCAAAACACGAGTCGCACCCGGCCGGGGTAAAAGGAGGGAGGTGGGAGTGAGGGGGGGGGGGGGGGGGGGGGGGGGGTGAGTCGCGGATAAATTATCGAAAGGTCCAATCTATGCGCATTCTGATCAGCAGCCAGAGAAAGAGAAAGGGAGAAGGACGGGGAGGGGGAAGGGGAGCAGGGGGTCGAGGGGAAGAAGGCATCAGATTCAAGTCGGACCGCAGTCGGGAAATGAGAGACGCTTGCTGGATCCAGAGGCGGCCAGAGGCTGGAGACACCACTGCGAGGGGTGTGCCTCTGCGCCTCCAGGACCTCCAGGCTAAAGACGCTTTTTCTCCAAACAGAAAAAAGATCAGCTACCTGGATAAACCAGTTTGTAGCCAAACACGGGATAACTATCTATACGTAAGTTATAAAGAGCTAGCCTTTCCTGCCTCTCGAGGAGCAGACTTTCCACTCGTGTGTCTACTACAGACCATATTTTCCCGCGCAGCAGCAGAGCACTCGCCTGGTACTCTCCCCCACGCAAACGCGCACTCCCGATACGCACGCCTGGCCTGGCAGCACTCGTTCCCTCCAGGGAGCTCCCTCCCCTCCAGCAGGAAGCACTCTCGCAGGAGCGCGATCTCCAGCGGCAACGCCCTCCTCATCGCCAAGCCTGTCTCCTGCGTTTAGACGGTTTATTTCTCCAGCCAAGCCGATGGGGCAGAAAAACTGTCGAGTGGGATGGTGGGGGGGGGGGGGCGCCATATGAAACCATGGGAGCAAAAGATGGGGGGTGAAAGTAAAGTGGCCTGAGACGGAGTCCAGGCGGAGAGCAGGGCAGGGCCCGAGGGGGACTCCCCAAAGGTGTCGGCAAATCGGCGTCCCTTCTTAGCCCGGATAGGTCGCGGGTAGGCGGCTAGGCCGCTGTAGCGCGGATACATACACAGGAGAGAAGTGTGATCGGTGTGATGAAGAGATTGTTCGCAAATCAAATCCGGACCGAAAACAATGTGGTTTGTATTTGTCCTTCAACTATAGACGTGCGGCGACAAACGGCTACTTCTCTTCTCCCCCCCCCCCAACTATTTCTTTCTTATTCTCCTTCTTCCTCTTTCATTCTCTCCAACCCCCACCCCCTGTCCCTCCTGAGAGGGGGTAATTTTATTTAGCACCCCCTTCCCCGTGAAGGCGGCGGCCCCACACATCACTTCGCTAAGTGGCGGCAGCAGCAGGAGCTCTCGGTGTCAGTGTGAGTGGGGGGGGGGGCGCCGCGGGGGGGGGGGGGGGGGGGGGGGGGGGGGAGGGGGGGGGGGGGGGGGGGGGGGGGGTGGCTCATGACTCCGGTTGCGGCCGCTACAGCTTCCGTTGCCCGATGATGAAAAAAGCAGCAATGTCTACCAAGGATGTAGAAGGGTTAACTTTAAAATCCCTACGGGGGAGAAGCAGAGAGGGAGAGAGTGGGAAAGAGAAGGCGAAGAGTGGAGGGGAAGAGTGGAGGAGGAGAGTGGAGAGAGAGAGGGAGAGTGGAGAGAGAGGGAGAGTGGAGAGAAAGGGAAAGTGGAGAGAGAGGGGGAGAGAGAGGGAGAGAGAGAGGGAGAGAGAGAGGGAGAGAGGGAGGGAGAGAGAGTGGAGGAGGAGAGTGGAGAGAGAGAGGGAGAGTGGAGAGAGAGGGAGAGTGGAGAGAAAGGGAGAGAGGGAGAGAGGGAGGGAGAGAGGGAGGGAGAGAGGGAGGGAGAGAGAGGGAGAGAGCTATCTTTGCGGCAGGTGCTGAACAGCTGACCGAGCGCGAAGGCAGTACGTATCGAAGCAGCAGTAGTCAAACTTATACAATAAACTAGACCAACGGTATGAAAGAGGTTGTGAAAAAAATGCCGAGAACGTCTGAAGCGGCATCCGATGTGCAGTCGAACGCGTCTGAGCCCAGTTTACTCCGGACTCGGGCGGCGCCAGCACCATTGCCGGAGCCAATTGCGCGGAAAATGGCGCAAAAGCGGGCTGGCGTGCACAAAGACTGCAGCAGCCCCCCCCCCCCCCCCTTTTGCACACACGCGCGCGCACGCAAAAACACGAAGTTTGAAGAAGAAAAACGCAAACCGGCCGTACGGGGGATATGTCGTGGAAATCCGCTCGAGATGGTGGAAATCGAGAAATGAGCCGGTGGTGATGGTGGCTCCACCTGAGCGCGCGAGTGCGAGTGGTTCGCATCCCCTACGGTGTGCACCGTGGCACCCCCTCTGCCGACTGATTCCGAAGAGCGCTCTCCTATACCTTCCGTATAGCTCCATCCTTGTCGCACTCATGGGGCAGCTCCCCTTGAGCGCTCTTCGGAATCAGTCTGCTGGGTAACCACCATGCGAGCGGGCGACTTCACCCCACGCCAGGGGCGGACCGAGGGGCGGACTGGCCAGGGCGGGAAAGCGGGAAATCCCGCTCGGGGCCCCCTCGAAAAAGGTAACCATTTCGGGCCGGTTACGAACTTGGACCCCTTGTATAGGTAATTCTCCCCTGAGCCCTGTGCCCCGGGCCCTCCACCTTACACGTCACGGACTGAAGGCCTAATGGCAGCCGGACCGCCGGACATGGACATGACCCGCACACGACGAGGAGAACGCGGCGGACAACAAGAAGAGGGTGAGGGGAGAGGGCTGCACTGCACACCAACCCCCACCACGGGGACATGGTTAGAAAGGTCAAGCAGCAGCAGCAGCAGCAGCAGCAGCAGCAGCAGCAGCAGCAGCAGCAGCACCACCACCACCACCACCACCACCACCACGCCCGCAGCCCGTCCGACCTGGCCACCAACACGGGAGAGGGGCGAATGGTAATTGTCTGTGTATGCGAGGGGAGGTGGAAGAGGGAGGGAAGGGGATGCATATGGAAAAGGGATCGTTGGGGGAAGAGGCGGGTATTGGCGCAGGAGGGAGGGGAGGGGGGGACAAGAGCAAGGGGACCCAGGGGCACCAGCAGCAGAGGGGTCGGGGGGGTCGGGGGGGTCGGGCGCGCCGTGCTCCCCATGTTTTTTGCCGTCCGCAATTAGATGGCACAAAACACGGGCCGTGGCTATCGGTCTGCGAGGACGGCAAAGTTGTCCAGCACAGCAGCCTCGCTCGGCCGGGAGGGACAAGGGCCGGGGGGCGGGGG